GACCTCAGACGTGCAGCCTCCAGAACCGTGAGAACATAACTCTGCTGGTGACGGCCCAGGCTGTGCATTGTATCGCGGCTGCCCGCGCTGGTGACACACGTCCTACGGTGCCCAGGACATGCTTCCTCTCCTGCGCTCATAGATCGCCTGCATAACCAACATGAATTTAAAAACGTTGGGTTTTTCTGTTGACATTGCACACTGATGGGCCCCTCATTCGGGCACCGGCCCAGAATAAATGACAGGTGGTAAGAGGGCGCCATGAAATATGCAAATGCCCTTTGGGGAAGAGTGAGCGCTTTGTGTTTTTCAATCTGGAAGGCAGGCTGTTGGCGAGGGTGCTGGTGGGCCTGGGTGGGAAGGACAGGCCCCGACCCAGACCCTCCCTCAGCCGTCCCCCCCCTCCTGCAGGTGAAGCTGGGGTTTGTTTGAAGTGTCATCTCTCGCACTGAGAGCTGCTTGGAGGACAACAGCTGGGGCCACACAGCCCTGCTGCTCCGTCCGAGGGGAACAGGTGGAGCTGGGGCCAGAGCGTGAATGCTGGCGATTCATTGGGTGCAGCAGGCGGAGTGCCCGGCTCAGGCCAGTGACAGCTGGCAGCAGGTGGGTGGGGTGGGGAGGGGTGGGTTCAGCCTCAGGAAGAAGGCACCAGAGGGCAGGAGACCAGGGAGGGAAAGAGGGGGAACTCCTGTGCCCCCACCCCAGGCTGGGGCCGCTGACCTGGGAGGCTGGGGGCCCTGCAGGGTGCGCAAACATAAGGAGACCGAGGACATGCTCCCTGTGGGCCCCCATCCTTTCCAACCCCCGCCACCCTGGGCCGAACCCCAAACCCCAGGCATCTGGGCCATTCCAGCAGCTATGCCAGGCCTTTGGCTGGTCAGGGCCCAGGCAGGGGACCAAAGCAGCTGTCACCCTCCCCTTGCAGACAGGGGTAGGAGCACAAGGCGGTGAGGGGATGGCAGGACAGGCCACCCTTTTCTGTCCAGAATTCTCCTCTGTGCCCTGAGCCCTCACCGTTCTTCTCTAGGGAAGTGACAGAGTAGAAAAGCAACGTCTACTGAGCACAGTGCTGCTGACCGTAGAGCCCAGCACCCCGTCCTCCCAGCAGCACCCCGTCCTCCCAGCACCCCGTCCTCCCAGCAGCACCACGCCTCCCAGTTCACAGGTGGGAAAACCGAGGCTCCTTCATCAGGCACTCGAGAAGGGACAGAGGGACATTTGACGCCCAAAGTATTTGACAAAGAGCCCAAATCCACAACCTCTGAGGAGGACTGAATTAGCGAAATGCCCAGCAGTCCTCCGGGGGGGTCTAGGTCCGACTTTCTCAGAGTCAGAACGGAGGGCGGGCAGTCAGATCGGTGGAAGCTGAAACCCCTTGTCCCTGGAGATTGCTCCAAGCAGGAGCGACCTCATCGCTTGGGCCTGGTTTAGGAGACGCGGCCTTGGAGTGGGCGGCAGGACCCAGCCCCCCATTCTTTGGCGGCGAGGTTTGCTGCACATTCCTAGGGGGTCTTCAGCTCCCAGGTGAGCTCACAGACCCTCAGAGGTGGGGTGCAGCGGACCGTCTCCCTAAAGCTTTACACAGACTAGGTTCCTCCCACCAGCACAGGACCCAGCACCCAGTGGGCAGGGAGCAGCCTCCTCGCCCCACGTCTGGGCTTCCATCTGGCCAGCAGGGGGACCCCGAGCCCCAGGCACCGGCCCGTACGGGGCAGCTGCTCCTGGCTCTGGATGCATCGGACGCTCAGCAGACCCGCATCCCTCCCTGAGCCTCAGTCTCCTACTCTGCGAAATGGGTAAATAACTGTACTTCACCAGCCACGTGCGGGGCAAAGAGCTCCACACAACAGAGTGTTGATAGACTTCATTCTTCAGTGGTTGTCCTGCACGGCGTCATGGCTCCGTTTATGTGAAACGTCCAGACTAGGCCAATCCCGAGACAGAACGTGGCTCGGTGATTCCAGGGTCTGAGAGGGATGGGTGGGGTTGGAAAGAACTGGAAGTTTTCAGGGATGATGGAAACGTCCTAAAAGAAGATTAGGGTGATGGTTGCACCTTCTGTAACTACACTGAGCACCACTGAGCTGCACACTTTAAATGGGTGAAGTTTATGACAGAAGTTATATCCCAGTAAAATGTAACTGGTGCTCTGAATCTAATCGGCAACTCCCCGCCACCTCTCCACGGCCTCCTCTCCCCCTCAGCACATGCAGGAGCCAGTGGGCATGTTTCTTTCGATTGAGGAGCAGGAGGACTGCTTGACGGGCAGGAAGGAGAAAGGGGGCATGAGGGAGTCCCGTTTCTCCCCGCCTTGATTGCCCTCTGCCCTGTGCCCTTGGTGTGTGAGGGGCAGGCAAGGAGGGCGAGTGGACTGGCCAGGACGAGCTGGGCGGTGCCAGGGCCTGAGCTCTGCTGAGTCCGTACCATGATGAGCCAGCAGGTCCTCCAGGTGGTGTGGTGGACCTGGTGGTGTGGATCTGCCAGAGGCTGCATCCAGGTCAGAGAAGCCCAGATCCACAGCTCGCGCCCCGGGCTGGGGGCGGAGGGGGGGCTGCCTGATGAAGGGCTGCAGGTGCCGGGGGAGGCTGAGTCTTTTTAAAAAATTTTATTTTATTATTATTTTTTAAATCCTCACCCAAGGATATTATTCCATTGATTTTTAGAGAGAATGGAAGAGAGAGAAAGACGGAGAGAAACATCGATGTGAGAGAAACACATCGATTGGTTGCCTTCTGCATGTGCCCTGACCAGGGCCCGGGCCAGGGAGGAGCCTGCCCTCCGGGACCCTTTGGTCCGCAGGCTGACTCTCTATCCACTGAGCCCCATCGGCCAGGGCAAGCTGAGTCTTTTAAC